AAGCTCGCTAAGATGGGTTGTGCTATTTCGTGTGATTGTGTGGGTCGTATACTTGAGTTCTACCTGTGAGGTCTTGGGTTCGATCCCCCGTTGGGCCGAAAGATTGGCACTGCTGATGAGATTCAATCAGGTCCAAACACCTGTCCAGTGCTTCCTAACTTTCATTTTCCATTTGATTTACTCTTTGAACAACAAAGTTATTAAACTCGGAGTGACATATAGTCCCAATGCGATGGAATCTGCCCAAAAAATTAACAGTTGCACGCGGAAAGAAAATGACGGAAATTTCACGTAGAAAGAACAGAACCGTGTCAGTTTCGCGGGGGGAAACAAAATGTTACCACTATTTCTGATTGGGTATGCTCAAATCAATTCAGTTTCTTTACTCACTAACTTTTCACTTTCGCGTGGNTTTTCACTTTCGCGTGGTCGTTTGCGTTACTGTTTTTTTGTTGTTTTGAATGTCCGTTTCAACGATGGAGTAGACAAGAACAAGAAAACTGGAAAAAGTACGACAGTAGAGATAGGGAATGCAGCCGATCTAGGTTTGCGAGGAAAATGAGTGGCAGTTCGACCATCTAATTGGTGACAAGCGTATGCCCCAGCCACCCTAATCTAGGAATGGGGGGTCAAACAGTTGCTCCAATGCATCACCGCGATTACCTCAATCTCCTTGTTTAACTTCGGCGCTGTTTGTCCGGCTGACCCAGCAGAGTTGGGCGATACGGTTTAGACAGCAATGGTTGAAAACCGATAGTTATTCTTTATGCTTCTGTCGCAGTAACAAATTCTGTGCAGGATAAGTGCAACACAAGCACTCGACTCTCCACGGTCAAACGAATGTCGAACAGGCGCCATAGGATGACCCGAATTGATGATCAAACCAATCAAGCCTTCGATATGCATACCAACACTTCATCAGAGACTTGACCGCAGGGTGTGATTCATCTGCTAGAATAGGAAGTTTTCTTCGTATAGGGTGAGTCTATATCATCCGTTTCTGTTCACCTTCACATTCTTTCCGACAGCCGAGGATGAAAGCTGTCAATGTCATTTAGTCATAAAGTGTTTTTTAACTATATATATATATATCAATGTGATGTGAAGCGGAAGAGATAGTCCGCATGCTTATGCGCGACTCGCTATTCAGTTAGCATAATTAGCAACCTCCACATGCGATTTGGAGCAGTGGACTGTAAAAGGTCTCATTAAAAAGGGTGTGGTATTGAGCAGCACAACAGCAATGCTGTGTATCACCGAATTTGGATTTTCTTCCCTTTTCCTCTAAGCTACTTGTTCTTACGTAACGAATAAATCCACAACTATTGGGAATGTAGTGTACAGTGGAATCTCCCGGGTACGTCTCTAAGTTTTGCATAACCCAGTTTCAGTTTCAGTTTGTACAACCATTAACCACGCACTTTAGTGCGCCGGTTTTGGTTGCTGT